GACCACCTCAGTGCTTTGAGCAGAGGCAATAGGATGGTTTTCTTTTACCTCAGAGAAAGCCAGTTTCCAGCAGCTGCCCTGCCCCAAGCCTTGAGAGATTGAATGGATCGAAAAGTGAGCAGGTGGGAACACATGGTGTTTGGCACATTGCTGAGTTCTAGAAAAACTGAAAGGAGCCTCGCCTTGGCATCTAGTGGAATGATGGGCTGGGGCAGCCTGGCAGAGGCCCAGTTCATAGGGAGAAAGCAGAGGGCGACCAGGGCTGACTTGGTGCTAAATGGGTAGAAAAGGGGGAAGCGGAGTCTTACTCTAATTCTCTAAGTTGGGATGTGGCTTATCATACAGGCATAGGAGCTTCTTGTGACCAGGTCCCAGAAAACTTACTTTTATAAAATAGGTTTATCAAGAAATATCATAGGCCTACTCTCTGCTAGACCCTTAAGAGAATCACCTGCTGAAAATGCTCAGTTGATAGTGACGGAGATCAGCTCTTCCTGCAATTTTCAAAGGCTGATAATCAGCCAAAACGCTCTCACCTGCCCATAAGTGGGCAGTATCCAGTGGTGGAGGATGCTGCTGATCTGGAGAGCTGGGGAGAGGGAGAGGCCCTTTTAGGAATGTAGTCCCAGGAGGCTTCTCCCTCCCTGCTTGTAAGATTCCAAATGTCTGAGATAAACCCCAGGATAAAGTCCAGCAAAGATGCTTTAGGCTATATTCCTCTGAGAGAGAGCTAGAGAAGGGTTTTATTTTTAAAACCCTCGTTCCTGCTGGGGGGTGTGTGTGCGTAGAGTGGGGGCAGGCCTTGGGAAAAACTGTTTGGATCAGGAAGGAGGCATTCTACTAGATGTGTGTACTCTTTTACAGTTTCTGCTCTCACATATTCTCTACCCTCAAGAATTGTTACTGAAAAACTCCAAGGACATGAGTTAAGATCACAATGATTCCTAACATCAATTCTACTTCTATATTTTTCCTCCCAAGGCTTTCCACTGGGTAGAATTTTAAATGTGAATAATGGTTCAAAGGCTGAGAAACAAACTGCTCATTACTGGAAAGAGTGCCAGGAATCCTGGGAAGCAGACCTCACTCCCACCGGAGTTCTGCACCTAATAGTAATGGCTTCTTTCATAGTCATGGGAGGGTTGGATCACTGTTTCTTTTCATTCTCGTCTTCTTTCAGTAACTGCTGGGATAAAAGCAAGCCTAGAAGAATAAAAAATTCACAAACAGGACAAGAATATTTAGGGCAAGAGATCAGAAGTTCTTTGGTTATTCAGTGAACTGAACTAACTTTACTTTTTAAAAAAGTGTAAGAAAATAAATGTCCATCAAACTCCATGTCGCAGTGGGTATTAGCCTTTCGACTGCATCTCACAGGCTCTGAGTTGTCATGCCTAGCAAGTTGAGGTAGGAGACTCGGACTAATCCAGTGATTAAATGGAGTTTTGTCATTATTAGTTCCATTCCCAGTATTTACTATTTCTTTAGTTTGAGAAGCATTCTGCCAATGTTGCTAAATAGCCCATTCCTTTTCACTTTTCATCCCCAAATCCAATCAGTGATGAATGATACAGATAGAAGCGTTATTATGACTCTACTAGGTGCCTTAGAGAAAACCCAGTCACTCTGGAGGAGCAGTTCAAGTTTTCTATCATTAATTGCTTTCCCCAAATACAATCAGTGGGGTTTCTGAGAAGGCAGGCAGGTTTTAAAGTGACATGGTTAAGAAGTACTGTACTAAGACGTATCACCTTTATTCACTATCAATGTGATCTTCTTGGAGTACTCATCAAAATGCACTTCAAATAACTAGTTTTTACGTGACAAAATTTTTCCCCCCAGACTACAACTACCGTTAATTTGATCAAGAGAGGTCCCTCCCAAAGTGGTCAAGAAGTGATTAGGTACTAAAACTATAGCTTCATTTCTAGTCACAGTGAGTCTGATTTAGTTGTGTGTGATAACCCCATCCTGGCACTAGGAAGGCTCTTTTCCAGGACCTATCAATTAACATGGCTTAAGAAACACTCTATGCCCAAGCAATTCAGGCTAAAAATAACTCTGTGGGCTATTTTTTTTCTTTACTCATCCACAGAAAGCGTTTGTATGTCAACAAGATCTTTGCTCCTTGAGTGTTTTCACTCCTGCTTACTCTTCTGAAAATAGAGTTGTTTGATACAATCAGGAAAGTCGGAGTCGGTGTGAGGCATACAGAACAGCAAAACCATGCTGATGCAACTAAGCTTTCTAACTGCCAAGTGTTCAAAGAATAAAAGAATCCAGCATTCAGAGAGAGGCCAGGTTTAAAATAGATTCTCCCTTACTCACTTTCTTACAAATATGCACAATTTTTTGACAAGAATATATCTGACTTACACAAAATTCACTTCTAAGTTAACAATGATAACAACTGAGCACTCAATACGTATGCTCACTTTTCTAAGAACTTAAGGGGCATTAACTCATTTTCACAACCCTACAAGATAAAATTATCTCAATTTCACATTTGATAAAACTGAGGCAGAGAGAAAGGAAGTAATCTGTCTATAGAGTTCCTCAGTTAATAAGTAGCAAAGCCAAGATGCAAACCCAGGAAGCCTGGCTCCAGAGCCCATGCTCTAACCATTGCACTATACTCCTTCTGCAACAAAAACAATGATCTTTTCAGATTTCCTACAAAGCTATGTCTCCCTATCAAGTCTGTCCAATTACATTCTCTAAAGAGAACGTGGTCTCATGGCTCATCTTAATGTGAAAACAACAATCAACAGAACTTTGGTTTTATTCAAAATATATCAACTCTTATTAAACACACCAAATGTTACCCCCTTTCAAATATAAAAATGCACTGAGATAGCTGTTAAAGCTTAATTGCTTTCTAGCAACAGGAAATGTTTACAAAATTAAGGTCCTGGACCCCTTCTTCAGTTTAAGCAGTTAGCACTCAATGGAGCTCTTGTGCCTAGAACAGAACTCAAGTAGCTAATCTCTGAAAGAAAAACGTCAATTTTAATAAATAAGAACCTTACTAGAGGTTTAATTCTATTAACATATTATTGTGATAGAGAATAAAGCAGAAATTTCCTTATGCTTAATGAATCACTAATAGATCGATCAAAAAAAAAATTAAGGCACTGGCCTGCTTAGTTTAGCTATGACAGAAGTTCACACAATCAAGACTTTAGGAACACCAAAGCACCATTTCATTTGCTCCTTCTGTATGGCCATAACCCTTACGTAAAGCTTTGAACCTCAATTTGTCCCATCTCTTAAACACCCTATTTATAAGCTGCTATAGGCCAATACCAACTTTTAAAGTACTAGCAAGACTATTTTATCATTCTGATTTGTTTTTGAAATAGATTAATGAATACCTTTAGAACACTGAATATTTGCCTTAGACAAAAAGCTCTTAAATGTAGTGGTTATAGTAAAATCAACTGATAACTTGGCTGTCATCACCTAAGTGTTTACCACGACCCAAACACTGAGCAGATCAGGAAGTTTTGCTAAGCTGAATTTGCCTAGCCCTCCTTCCTTATCTAGTTTGACACAAGCAATTTCCTTTCACTAATGCATTTACTTTCCACAGATAAAATAAAATTAAAAAATAGCACTGAAAATTCCATCCTGACATCCACTGGACTGCAGAGGTGGATCTAACTGGGCAAGTTAGTCTCATTAAGCCTCCCTCTCCTGTCATTTTTTTTTTTTCTTCAACAACAAAGCTGAAAGATGACCCATGTTATACAGCTTAACAGGGTAATAAAAGGAAGCTTTTGTGATAACATTTTTGCATTTGGGAAGGGCTTCAAAAGTTAGCACTAAAGTCATTTAATATCAGACACCATCAGATTGGGCTGTGGAAAATCAAATTGGGCTAAACTGACTTTAGAAAAGGCAGTTGTAGTGACAGGTTTCAAGAAACCAGCTGGGCACTGATACTAGTATCTAATAGCTATCCTCCCATCTAGGGGAGAAACCTTAAACGTGCCTCTCTTGATACTTAGTGAAGCCAGCAAACAATGTCCCCAGTCTGTGCTCCACTGATACTAAGAACCACACTTGACCACAGTTCCCCTCCTCCCACTTCTCTCCCAATCCAGACAGGTGATTACAGACAAGGAGGCAATTAAGTTGCTTCAAAATATTTAATACGTGTTAGACACGTAAAGTTACATCTTTATACAAAAATCAATACAACGGAGGAGAAAATACTGTACAAAAACCTTGTCAGCTCCCCCAACCTTTATACAACAAAGACTGGAGTCACCGTATCTACAAAACCATAAGGTCTTTCCACTTAGGGCTTCTGTCTGTAAACTTTGTTTCATTAAACACTTTTTAAAAGCACTGTGTAGTAGTTCTGATCTAGAGCTTTTAAAAATATATCTATTCTCTATAAACTCCATATTTCCAAGCTCGAACTCTTCTGTGAAGTTCATCAAGCTTTTTTTTTTTCTTTCCCTGTGGGGAAGACAAGGGCCGCTCATATTCCCTTTTCCCAGAGTAATCACAGGGTATAAACGTTGTTCGGTGATGGAAAGGCGGGGGGGGGGGGGGAGGGAGAAATAATACAAGTCTCTACCCCAGACTAAATCCCTCTAGTCTTAGGAAATCCTGTGAGGAAATGCCACTCCTGGCACTGGTGCGGTGCTAGCTTTCATGTGAGGGGTGTGTGTAAAGTCCCTTCCTCCCCCGAGTACGGAAGGGGAACTCCCCAGCCCGGCCCCGGCCCCGGCCCCGGCCCCGGCCCCCCGCGCCGCTTCCTTCTCGGTGCTGCCGGCAGAGGAAAGTCCCTGTCTGCCCCCACTCTCCTAAGCCCTGGGAAAGGGGGGATGCATTCCAGAAGGACAGAATAGTCTTAGTTCAACAAGACACACGTACGCACACAGACATGACACTACACAAAAGTGAACGATCGTCCTCTTCCGACAAGCCCCACGCCCCCAGGTCCCCGGAGGCGGCGGCGGGGAGGCTCGGCACAGCAGGGCCGCCGAGCCCGGGGGCGAGTCCGTGCTGCCCGGCAGCGCCCACAGTCTCCGCCGCGCGCCCAGCGCCTACGGTCCCGCGGCCGCCCTCGCAGCCTCACGTCGGGGCCACCCCGCGGCTCAGCCTCCTTCCGAAGGGGGCGCCGGGGGCTCAGAAGGCCACGATGGCTGTGCTCCAAGGGTTAATGTCTCTCAGCACCGGCTTATCGCAGCAGATCTGCCCGGGCTCCGCGGCTTCCGGACCGCTCTCCTCTCCCTCGGCTTCCTCGCGGCCGCCCCCGGGGCTTTTCCGCAACAGTCCCGAGAAGCTGGAACCGAAGATGCTAATGAGGTTAGCCACGTTACCGGTCTCCATCTCCTCCTCCTCCTCCTCCGCCGCCGCCGCCGCCCCGCCCGGCTGCTCCTCCGAGTTCCGGCGGGGCTTCTTCAGCGGGCTGGAGCCGGACGCCGGGCCGCCCGCGGGGCCGCCACCCACGCCCGCCGCGCCTCGCTTCCGGGGGCCGACGGCGGGCGGCGCTGGGGGCTCGTCCTCGGCGGGCCGCGGCGCGCAGCAGCAGGCCAGTCGGGGGCACGCGCCCGGCGCCCCGGGCCTGTCCTCCGCTCCCGGGGGGCAGCCGCACTGGCGGCGCGCCCCCCGGGGCCCCTCGGGGAAGCCGTCCGAGCCTCCGGCGGGGCCCGCGGCTCCTCCCTCCGCCGCCTCGCGCGCTCCCTCCACGCGGCGCCAGGCAGCTTCCGCCGCCTCCACCTCTCCGCCCCGAGGAGCGTCCCCGGCGCCCGTGACGGGGGCCGCGGGGCGCTCCGGCTGCGGCTCGGGCTCGGGCCAGGCGGCTCGGGCGGCCGGCGGCGGCGGCGGCGGCGGCTCTCCCCAGCCCGCGGGCGGCCCGGCCGCCGGCTCCCCGGGCTGCTGTTGCTGCTGCTGCTGCTGCGGCGGCGGCGGCGGCGGCACCGCCGGGCTCCCCGCGGGGCCGGCCAGGTAGAGGCCCGGGCACGGGTCACTCAGGTAGACCTGGCGGGCGCTGCGCAGCACCAGCGAGACCAGCAGGTTCTTGTGCAGCTTGATGCCGCCGCGCTGGACCCGCGAGTTGTAGATCTTGCCCAGGGAGATGCTGACGATGCGGTGCGCCTCCAGCTTGAACTCCATCGCGCCTCCCGTTCGCAGGGCTGGCGCCGAGGTGAGGGGCGGGGGGCGCTCCCCGGCTCACGTTCGGAAGCGGACCGGGGACGGGAGGCGTCCGCGAGTCCGGTCCGCGGCGGGACCCTCGACACTCGAAGGCTGGAGAGAGAGCGACTCCGGTGCCGTGTGCCGTGCTCCCGGCCGCCGCCGACAGCCGCCCGCTCCCAGGTTCGGTCGCTAACTGGGGGCGGCCCGCACGCCCGGCGCCTTATATAGGCCGCTCGGCCGCCAATCGCGAAGGGCCGCCAACCGTTCCGGGGCCGGGCGGCGCGCCCTCGTGCGCCGCGCGCGGCCAATCGGAGGCCGAGGAGGGGCGCCTGGGCTATTCGAACGTTAGTCCCGCGGAGCAGGCTCTTAAAGGGGGCGACGGCGCGCGGCGGCGGCCGGACGGGTCGGGGCTTGCGCTCCGCGGGCGGGTGCCGGGGCGCCGGCGTCCGCAGTGAGGTCTGCTGCGGGGACGCTGGCTTGCGCGCTGGCTTGCCGGGCCCGGGCGCGCTGAACCACTCGAACTTTCAGCCCCGGATAATAAATAGCAAGACCACATTTAGCAGATACTGATTTTGGATGAGGGCCTGGCCTTCCTAGAGGCTCAACACACTCTTGGCATCTCTCTTGTCAGTTCTAACCCCGAAGAAAGAAAAAAAAAAGGGGGGGGGAGGGGGTGGTTTCTAAAATGTCCTAAGTTTTCGGCTGCTTCTTAACGAATGGTGTTGACTGGGTACGAAATTACCGGTTCTCTACTAAAGCCATCCTGGGTCACTTTGCTCTCTAGATTCTAGAACCAACAGGCTTGTCACATAGGTTGCAATGAAAGGTGGTACAGGCTCTCCCCAAGGACTTTTCTTCAACGTAAGGACTGACCAGTTCACCCTTGGAAGAATCTAGCGAGTTCTAAAAATACAAGTAGAGAAGCCCTGTGTTCCCATCATGATGTCATCATTTTATTTTGTGTCAAGGTAAAAATATAAGGGGAAGAGTGTTCCAGACTTTTCTGGTCAGTCAACAACTTAGTCCATCTACTGATCCTGAGTATGTGGCATTAGGGCAGAACCACAACAGGGTTGTCCAGAGTCCTGGATTGGGCTTCTGGAGAGTCTGAGTTAGGCCACCCAAGCTCCACCCAAGCTCCACCGCAGACCTCTGCTTGATGATTCTGGGCAAAGAACCTCAGGACACTTTCGCTTCTCTCCAGCTTTATTATTTTTTTTTAAGATTTTATTTATTCATGAGAGACATAGAGAAAGAGAGGGGCAGAGACACAGGCAGAGGGAGAAGAAGCAGGCTCCATGCAGGGAGCCCAACGTGGGACTCTATCCCGGGTCTCCAGGATCAGGCCCTGTGCTGAAGGCGGCACTAAACCCCTGAGCCACCCGGGGTTGCCTGCTTCTCCGGCTTTAAATTTTTTTTTTTAATTTTTATTTATTTACGATAGAGAGAGAGGCAGAGACATAGGCAGAGGGAGAAGCAGGCTCCATGCACCGGGAGCCTGACGTGGGACTCGATCTCGGGTCTCCAGGATCAGGCTCTGGGCCAAAGGCAGGCGCTAAACCGCTGCGCCACCCAGGGATCCCCTTCTCCGGCTTTAAAAGGGAGAAGTCACAAACACACCTGCTCTATTATGCAAATTAAGTGACAACTCTCACCGTCTATAGATAAATGGATAAAGATGTGACACACACACAATGGAATATTATTCGGCCATTAAAACAATGAAATCTTGCCATTTGCAATGACATGGACACAGCTAGGGAGTGTAATGCTAATCAAAATAAATGAGAGAAAGATTTATTATTTCATACCATATGATTTCACTAATATGTGGAATTTAAGAAACAAAACAAAGCAAAAAGACAAACCAAGAAACAGACTCTCAACTGTAGAGAACAAAGTGATGGTTGCCAGAGCGGGGAATGGGTGATGATCTCAGGGTCATATTCTCAAGGTTCTGGGATTCAGCCCACCCTGGGCTCCCTGCTCAGCAGGTAGTCAGCTTCTCCCTCTCCCTCTGCCCCTCCCCTACTCCTCACCTGCATACACACTCTCTCAAATAAATTTTTTTTTTAAGGGATCCCTGGGCGGTGCAGCGGTTTAGCGCCTGCCTTTGGCCCGGGGCACGATCCTGGAGACCCGGGATCAAATCCCACGTCGGGCTCCCGGTGCATGGAGCCTGTGTCTCTGCTTCTCTCTCTCTCTGTGACTATCATAAATAAATTTAAAAAAATTAAAAAAATAAAATGGGAACTATTGCCAGCTTAACAATTTAAATATATATATATATATTTTAAAAAGGAGGGCATTTGTGTGATAAGTACCAGGTGATGGATGCAAGTGTTGAATACCTATATTGTACACCTGAAACTAATATAACGTATGTTGACTATACTGGAATTAAATTTTTTTAAAATGACGACTCTCAGTCACAATCTGAATCCTGAAACTAAGCATAGTTTTCTTGGAATCCAGGTGCAATAGTTGGCCTGATCCTGCACCAGGGTTTGGCCAAGGGGGATATTTGGTTAGGAGAAATAGTGAAAAGTGGGCCTGATAATAGGCCAATTCACAGTCAAGAGGCCTCCAAAGGATGTGATGACTCAGTAACATTACCTATGCTACAACTTATTAATGGTAATTGAGACATCAAGCTCTGAGACCCAGAGTTCCTCCCCTCTAGGAATTTTCAGCTTCCATAAAGGAGATAAAATAGTAACATGAATAATTACAAAAACAAGCCACATATTTTGAGTAATAGCATGAAAAAATTTTCATCTATTTTCTCTCTCTCTCTGAGAGTTATTAATCACCATAAAACACTGATTAAGAGTACAGACTTTGAAGGGAAGCTTCCTGAGTTGGAATCCCAGCTCGATTTTTTACTTACTGTGTGACCTTTTGAAAGTTATTTTACCTCTCTGTGCCTTCATCTTTTCCATCTTAAAATAGAGATAATAACAGTCACCACCTCTTAGAGTTTTTGTGAGGATAAGACAAGGTAACACATGTGAAGCTCTTAGAACAGCCTGGCATATAAGAAGCTATCAGTATATGTTAGGAAATATGGCATTAGGTGAAGCTGACCCATGTGAGCTGGGAATTTCACCAACTGCCCTGCATTCGTTGTCCCTCAGCACTGCTCTTGTCACTTGCTCCTGTTATGTCAAGCCTCTCTCAAATTGTGCTGTCATCGAAGGCAGGAGCTCATCTTATATTTGTAGCCAGAGGATAATGAGAATAATTAACAAATGTGCAACACAGGCACTAACCACCAGAACAGTGTCCTGGAGGCCCTTGCGGTGCCAGGGTATAGGGCAGATTCCTGCAGGAGAGGCCGAGTGACCAGCAAGGGGTGCACTCAGGGGCCGGGGGCAGAGATCCTGCCAACTGGCATGAAACCATTTCAGTATTTTAACAACTGGCGTGGCCATACCAGTGTATACAGAGTGATTATGCACTTAGCTTGATGGATTTCTAATAATGATATTGTCTATCATGACACTGTGCTACTTTCCAGTCATTATTTATCATCCTTATAAAGTTCTGCAAACAGATCAGGAAGCTAGGACTCTGAAAGGTCAAGTAATTTCCCCTAAGTCACTCAGCTACAGGTGGAGAAGGTGAGATTTAACTCCAAACCCACAGAAGTAAAGCTTGAGTGCCAAGTTCTGGGACCAGGTTACCTTGTCTCACCTCTTACTTGCTGTGGGACCTTTGGAAAGTTATGTCACATCTAAGTGAAATGAGAAAGTCATGCCTTAGTTTTGTAGCATGAACAAGTTATTCAACCTGTCTGTGCCTCGGTCGCCTACTGTGTAAAATGGAAATAACAATACCTAAGGGGCTGAGTACAGCTCCCGGCACCATCTAAAGCACTTACCAAGTCTATTTACTGTTACTGTTCTTATTATACCAATGACCATATTAGTCCCGGGCACATAGTTAGCACTTATTGAATGGTATATGTTTTTTCTACAACTCCATGTAATAGTTGCTCAGGAAATGATTACTGACTTGAAACTGAGCATGATCATTACAATCATCAGGACTTCTTCTAATCCTGAGACACCAAAATGGAACCTTGAGAATTCATCTCTTATGCTCAGCAAGCTTTACTTCCACCTACCAAAAGAGAGTTCCAGAACAACTTCTCCTAAGCTTTAGAAAGCAGGTAACTGAGTTCGAATTTGCCATTATCAATTGTTGAGACACTCAGTTAAAAAAAAAAGTGGTAGTAGGATGAGAAAAACTAGTGGTATAAGGACAGAGGAAGCAACTGCTCTTCAAAGAAGTGGTCAGGGTGTGTCCATGGAGACTGTCCATCCCTCCACCCCCATCCTCTCCTCTGGACACACCCAAGCAGGTTAGCATGCACCTCTTTCCACTCGGGTCTTCTCTGGGCTCTGACTGGAGGATTCCTCTAAGAGCAGAGCATGCGTGCCCACTGCTGTTGACTTTATTTCTTGCATGACAAATTGAAGGCTAAGGATTCCTATCAGATGATGATAGAGCTTATATTGTCTTAAATTAAGTCTAGTCTGTATAAGAACAATGCAAACATGCTAAATGGCTAGCTCTGTGAGAAGTAACCAGGAGTGAGAAGATGTGGGTGAAATAAGGTCTTTGCACGGAGCCCACCTTGCAATGCTGAGACACTTGGAAATTGTCGGGGTCACAGTTGCTTATGTAAGGGAATAATAATTTATATGAAATCCTGAGTTTTTTAGGGAAAAGCTCTACAAAAATACATTATTAGTGCTTTATGTAGGCATTACCCCTCTTGCTTTTCTGAGGACAAACCCACTCTATCTATCTATCTAGAGAGAATCTTAAGCTGAGTGTAGAGCCTCACTCGGGGCTCAATCTCACAACCCTGAGATCATAACCTGGCCGAAATCAAGAGTCAGATGCTTAACTGACTGAGTCACCCAAAGCCACTTTTTAATTCAGCTTTTTCTCTCCTACTCGTCTGGCATATCTTACTTTTTTTTTCTCTCTCTCTTTTGGCTTCTTGACTACTATAGAATTTATTTATTTTCAAATAACATTTGACTAGGAGTGGGCACCAAAATCTGCCTTTTTCTCCTCCTCCCCATTTCCTTTCCTAAACTAGCCCTCCTTCT